ACAGGTGAAGCCAATCCGGGCACCGCGGAGGAAGGTACTTGCCTCGGCAGCTGACCCGGCGCTGAGCCGTGCCCTCCTGAGCCCTCCCCAGAGAGACGACAGAGCCGGGTGACATCAGGCTACCGTTTATTGTAAAAGGCCGCGGTGCCCGCGGTGCCCTGGGCAGGCTGAGCCAGGGAGGAGGTATCTAAAAGTGCTATTTACACCTAGCTCCGGGTGCGTGTCCCAGGATTCCATCCCCCCCAGGGATCCCCTCTCTGCCCCCACTGCCTCCACCCCACTCAGTAAAAGCTCCTTGCCGCTCCCTGGGCCTGGCTCGAGCTCAGGTCCTTCCCTGAGTGTCCCTGGCACTCCCTGGGGCCGGCAGGGCTGGTGTCAGCACCCTGCGGTGCCGGCGTTGGCTGGGTGTTCACACCTGCAGGGCAGCTTGATGTGTCATGGCAGGCGGTGCCAGGGTGCTCCCCGCGCTTGCCCATGGTGAGGATGCCCGCGGCGTGGTTGCCGGAGCCATGGAGCAGGCGGTAGAGCCGGCTCTGGAAGGCCAGGGGGACACTCTTCCTCTTGCCCAGAGTGAGGATACCAGCGGCGTGGTTGCCCATGCCGTGCAGGAGGTCGTAGACACGGCAGGAGCAGGTCTTCTGCCGGCAGCAGTCGGGCAGGCTCTGCCGGGGAGAGGCCAGGGAGCAGAGAAGGAGCAGGAGCAGGAGGCAGGAAGCTCGCTGGAGCTACCAAAGCAATGGGCAGCATTAGTACAGGGCAGTGACAGCGCAGAGAGGGGGAGAGTGCACAGCCCCAGGGCTGCCCCCCTGTCCTGCCTTGCCCACTGATGTCTCAACTGCCCCCTGCCCAGTCGCTGCCACAGGGGCCCAGCCCCACACCTGAAGTGCACTCAGAATGTCACCCTTTGGTGCCCTGGGGCATGGCCAGCACCTCCAGCTGTGCTCTGACCAGCAGCCAGATGTGGGTGCCCTCACCACACCCCTTCCCTGCTCCAGCACACGGCAGCCATGGTAAACACCCTCCCCTTGCTGCCCAGTGCCACGGGATGAGCAGGGAGAGTACCCAAGCTCAACGCCACAGGCATTGCGCACTCAGATCCCTCATAAGAAACTCCTTGATCAGCTGCTGGCCGCAGCTGAGGAGCCCTGGGGATTTGCCACACACTTGGAGCTTCCCAAGGAACTGGCCAGGCCCTCCTGCACCCCCACATCCCACATCCCATCACTGCCCTCCTCTACCCCCAGGGCTGCAGTGCCCCAGCCCCACCTTGGTGTTTGGCACCTCCATCCTTCCTGGGGTCTTCAGGCAGCCGAGTGGCTCTGGGGCACGTCCCACCGGGCAGCTGAGAGCACAGTGCCCTGTGCTGCTGCTGCCGCTTTATAGGGCCCAGCACAATAGTGCTGCCAAAAATACTGCTGGGGCAGCGGGAGCAGACGGTCTCTGGGAGACACGGGTGCGCTGGGGCCGGTAGCCCGGAGACCATCCAGGCCTTTCCCCTCATTTGCAGTTCCTCATTGTGTAGGTGCTCAGTGGCTGGGGTGCCAGGCACTAATGAGGCCCTAATTGCCCACAGGCCCTGTGGCCAGGCTGGCACAAAGGGGCTGGAGGTCAATACTGACCAGCACCGGCAGCACCGCGCTCCAGGCTGATGCTCGGAGCCCCATTAGGCTAATTATCCCCCCGAACAAAGGGGTGCTGGCAGCAGCACAGCTCCCTGACGTGGGGAGTCGTCATCCTGTGCTCCCCATGGTGTCAGGGAGGGATGGTGCCATCAGGGTCCCATACCCAGTGCCACCCTCCATCCCTTTTGGTGACCCCATCCTGCCCTGGCCCCGTGCCAGGTACAGAGGGAGCCACAGGGCACCAGGAAGGTTCTTGCACTCTTTATAATGCTCCACAGCCCCAGTCCAACCCCAGACCACCTTCCTCTGTTTGTGCTGGGACCCCCTTGCCCTGGGGGACAAATCCCAACATTTCCCTGATGCCAGAAGCCACATCCACTGGCACTCTGGCCCCGCAGCTGCTGCACCACAGCCTCCCAGCCCCTCTGCACAGTGGGGGCCCCAGGGGTGCCACAGAGGTGACAGGACTAGCCAGGACCCTTCCTGCCAGCCAGATTTTTTCCCCAGGGCTGACAACAGCCAAACCTGCAGCCCTGGGGAGGGAGGGCAGGAGCCCAAACCTGGGGCTGCTTTTCCAAGCAGAATCTGGCACAGCAGGCTACATGCACACGGGCACCAGAGTACCAGCATCCCCACCAGCCCTGCAGCAGAGTGCAGGCTCTGGAAGCAGATGAGAGGGATGGATGAGTCCCTTAGGAACTCAGGGGAGGCAAGCAGGAGTAGGATCATCCCTCCTCAACCTCTCCACTGAGCCGTGATGCAGCCCCTTAACACGGCAGAGCACAGGCTCCAGATGTGTCCCCCCAGGCAGCCTGAGCCTGCAAGCAGCTGCCTGTCCATGAGCAGGCTGGGACTCCTGCTCCTGTGGCTGGGGATGCTCAGTCTGGGCCCCTGAGCCCCAGGCCAGGGTCAGCAGGACGCTGTGTCGCCGCCTCCGTCAGTCTCAGGGATGGGCTCCAGTGGGGCACGCAGCCGGGAGAGCTCTGGTGAGGCTGAGCCGTTCCTGCCGATGCCGCAGGACTGTCCTGCGTTGTGGATCTGCCACAGGTTGTCCAGTGCCTCCGCCTTGGCGTGCTTGAGGAGGTCAGCCTGGCCCTGCAGGGAGGGGGCATCGGGGAGGGTGTTAGAGTGAAGGCATCAGGGTGAGGTGTCAGGGCAGGACAGGTGTGTCTGTGCAGCTCTCAGCCCTCACCTTGAGGACGGTGATGTTCCAGGCAAAACTCTCCAGCGCCTTCTGCAGTTTGCGGCCCCGCAGCCCCTCCTTGGTCTCGATGCGGTGCAGCTCCTTGTGGAAATCCATCCCTGCGCAGGTGGGAGTGGTGCTCAGTAAGTGCAGGGATGCTGGCATGGGGATGGCCACCACCAGTGGGCACCAAGCCAGAGGGACGCCCTTTGCCCACCATGGGGGTGCAGGCTGGGTGGGTCCCCCACCGCCCCAGCAGCCCCAAAACCCTTCTGTACCAGGTATGATGAGCCAGTAGAGCCCCGAGCACACTGGCACCCTGCTTGGCCCCAGCCCGTGGCAGTTTTGGGCCCTGGGCAGAGGCACAGCTCTTGCACCCCATGGGTCACCCAGGGGGGCTCAGAGCAGGCCCACCAGGCTCCCCTATTGGAGTGTGGGCCCCAGCACTGTGCACCACGTGACGTCCTCGTGAGCGGGTGCTATATTTACCCCTCCTGACGCAGCACCGGCTCCAGGCCCACTCGAGGGCTCCCACGCAGCCTGCTCGCCCACATGCTGCCAATCAGACACCCCCAGCCCCGCACCCCCACTGCAGCCGCACCTCCCCAGACCCCCCAACACCCACCGTCTGGGTACTGGCCATGCCAGCACCACAGGGGCTTGTCCCCAGCGCAGCCCGGGCGAAAGCAGGGACAGACAGCACCAGGGCATGGGGGTGGGGGCTGCAGCCCCAAAACCGCTGCTTGCCACCACCCTGAGAGGCCACACATCCCAGGACCCTCTGCCCTGCAACACCCCAGCACAGCAACTGGAGCAGTAGAGGAGGGTATAGAGCCTGTACTCCACAGCCCATGCCCCACTGCTCCACTCCCTCAGCGCTGGCAGTGGTGCCGGAGCCGAAAGCCAAGAGCTCGGGGAGGTTTCCGTCTGCCGCGTAGGCAGGGAACAAACAGGGCTGCTGGCAGCATGGCTGGCATGAGGGGATGGCAGAGCGGGGCCCCCTCCTTCCTCCCCTGTCCCTCCAGCTCCTGAGGCTCTCCCAGCCCCATGGGGAGCCCATACGAGCCCCTGGGCCAGCATCCTCCTATGTACTTGGGACTGGTGGAACTGTCCCTGCAGGTCCCAGCCCACAGAGGGGCCACGCAGCCATCAGGGCCTGGAGCGAAGCTGGGGGTCCCAGCCAGCTGCTGTGGTGGGGGCAGCCGGGGGGAGGACTGGGGCAGGCAGCAGCAGCACCTGCCTGTGTGGGTTCTGCCATGTGTCTGGGAAGTCGTAACACTCAGTTGCCACTTCTACCGTCAGCCCCAGCCTGTTATTTCTGGCACTAATTATGTTCTGGCATTTGGCAGCTAATGACTCTTCCCCGCTTCCTCATCAGCCTCCCCCGCTCTGCTTGTTCCCTCCCACACAGCCCTGCAGCCCACCCACCCACACCCTGTCCCGGCGAAGGAGGGCCCACACCCCAGCACCCCAGGATGTGCCCAGGTTTGTGGCCAGAGCCACACCGGGGCTGGGGCTGCCCTCAGGGACCCACCTGCCTGCTGTGCCTGGATGAGCTTCCCATACACCACGTCAGCAGACTCGATCAGCGTCCGGCTGGTCTGGATCATCTGGGGAGAGGAGCAGCATGAGGAGCTGAGCAGCCCCTGCCCTGCACCCCCCCGGCCGAGTGGATGGGGAGATGGGGCTTGTCAGGGGTCTTGTCAGCATCTGGCTGGTGGCCAGGTTCTCTCCAACACAAAGGAAGGAAGCGGCTCTGACTGCGGCTATTAATGGGATTTCTTCCACCTGGCAGGACGAGGGCAAGGGGCAGGTAGTGCAGGCAGAGGGACAGGGGCTGCGGGGTCCCAGGGTCGTACTGACCTGGGCAAGCCTGTGCCTCAGCAAGACTCCTCCCTGGGCAGCCGCTACACAGCCCCCCGCCCACCTCTCCCTGCTGCAAGATGGATGCAGCGAGTTCAGGATCCTCTGTCCTGGGCAGGTCCCGGTGCCACCGACCCCACAGAGCCAAGTCCTGGCAGAATGGCACTTACCGTCTCGTAGGCAGTGAGGACCTTGCGCAGCAGGTCAGGGATGGGGCCCTGGGCCTCCATGGGGGGGTACTGCTCTGCCAGGTTGAGTGTGACGCTGGGTGTGCTGTCGCTGTGCAGCAGCCACGTGGACACTGTCAGGATGCACTGCTTCATGTTGGCGGCGGGTGTCAGCCCACACAGCTCCTTGAAGGACACCAGTGCGTTCTGCGGGCAGAGACCGGCGTCAGTGGCTCCCCACCCAGGAACATCCCTGCTTCCCCTGGCTCTCTGCTCCTTGCTCACGTCTCCCCGGAACAGGAGGACACCCAGGCCCCATCCTCCCCCACAGAAACCAGGTCCCCCAGTGCCTCTGCAGGGTCTGTACCTGCACATTCTCCCGCAGGTCGGTGGCCTCCCGCAGCGGCTGCGTGGCCGTCCGGAAGACCTCGTCGATGGCTTTGATGCCGGTGGCCTTG